TGTGGTACACCAATTCCAAATGCGAGTGCATTTTTGTGCATGACAGGCAAAACTGGGCTCGGTGAGATAGTGATGGGCATTGTGTAGACACCAGAACTGTTGCTTACATGCACTGATGTGCATGCAAGTAAGGATAGTGTGTGGCTTTCTCGCTGACAGCATAGTGCTGGTTGTTCAAAAGTCTTTAGGCTCTGTATGAAAACTGAGTTCAAGCGAGCTTTGAAATAAAGGAATGCAATACATGTCAAGTCTTGTGTTGGCCGTGTTTTGCTTGCTTTTCAAAAATGGAACCACAGTCCAGGGAAGAAGCACCTTCCATTACCTATTCTCATCTGTAACGTAGCCCTTCTCAGATACTCTTCAGAGGTTCTCCATCTGGATTTAATAATCATAGTGATCTCTGGAAAGTTGCTTCATTTAACAAGCAGAGGGAAAAGATGTCTTCAGTGCAGCTGCGTCATCTACAAGAAAGAGGAAAAAAAAACACCCAAAAAACCCAGAACAAACAAAACATTCATAATCCTGGTCGTGTTGGGAAGGTCTGGGCTTTTAAACAAATATTCAGTATCTGTGGTATCAGCCTCTCACTTTCATTGGAATAGAACTTCTTGCAAGATCTCTACTTAGTGGTCAGTAACTGCAATTATTTTTTTGACTTTTCAGTCTGTAGAATTTAAATGTAACCCAAAATTCCCATTTCACTTTACACTGGAGGCAGAAGTACATGTTGAGTGAGGCAGATAATGTAGCTGAATATAATTTTTGCTGGTCTGCTTTTCAATTTTACAGAACATCGACAAGGTGGTATTTGTTGGCAACTTTCTCAGAATTAATATGATTTCTATGAAGGTGCTAGCATATGCTATGGATTATTGGTCCAAGGGACAGCTGAAAGCTCTGTTTTTGGAACATGAGGTAAGGAAATACGTGTTGAACTTTTTTACTTGTAAGTACAGAAATCTTGTGGTTCTGGACTTGGCAAAGTTAAAAGGGAGAATTTCAATGCCATTGCTTTGAAGTGAATGCACAAACCAAGTTCAGAATAAATATAATTTAATTACAAATTCATTTCAAAATTCCCCTTGTTAACTCACTGGCTTGATCACTAATCTTGTGGTATTTATTGCTAAACATTGCACATCTCTTATTTTTGCTTTCTGACCTGTTCATTTGTGTGGTCTGATATATAAACCTCAACTAGATTTAATTTTTGTAAGCATAATTTTGAGGTGACTTTCAGCTGGATGTGTTCATAACGGAAACTGCCCTACCTCAATACAGTATCATTATGGTGGTTCTGTAACTTTTTATTTTTTGACAATTTTGGAGAATTATGTAAAACTTCTCCCGGTATAAGGCCCTTTTCTTGCACCTAAACAAAATCATATTAAATCATAATTTGCATATAGTAAATACTTGGCACAGCAGCGCTGATCTTACAAGAAAGGTCTGTTAATTGCCTTAACAGAACTGAAGCGCGTACATGCTCATGCTTATGTCTTACTTTGGAGTTTGATTGGTTTTGTTTTGCTTTGTTTAAAGGGTTATTTTGGAGCTGTTGGGGCTCTTCTAGAATTGCTTAAAATGACAGATGATCAGTGATGAAGCTGTCTGAAGAGATTCCTACTGCAGATGCTGCTGGATAAGAGTGAAAGCCACTACAAGGATGGAAATGAAGCCATTATGGTAGTTCTACCTGCTGGATTTGTAAATAATTTAAAATCCTTTTAGCTGATCTTTAACTTCTGGGTTTTGAGCTTATAATTCAGAATTCATACTGGGAATAACGAGATTTTTTTTTTCTGTACACTGTATTTTTTAGGGGAAAAATGTGCAAAGTGGCCAAACATACAGATTTTATGGATTTATTTTAAAAAGTGGATACTGTTTAATGTAGGACCTGTAATATGAGGCATCTGCTTTTCTTCTGGGGTTTACTGATTAGTGTGGTAATTTTAACTTCATTTAGTAATCACTCTAGGAGATTTTTTTATCTTATTTTCATGACGTTTCATGATTTGTTCTTGGTTTCAAATGAAACTACAAAGCTGATGCATTTTACTGTGAAAACTAGTAATTGATTTATTTTTTTTTTTGCCTTTCCTTTCCACATTAGATGAGACACTTTTTTATTTAACATCCCCCTGCCCCTCAAAAAAACCCCAAATTTACAAGCTTTCTGCAACTACATGGCTTTCTTGGCAAGACTGCAAGAAAACTTGGCAGGAGGTTTAAGATTGTAATTTTTCAATAGTCATGACTTGCAACAGGAACGGACTTCTAACTGGTTTTGCAGGACTAATTCTCCTCTACATTAAAAAATTTTAAACAAGATGTGAACTAAATTTTAATTATTGGCTTGACACTAAAATGAAATTCTGTTTCTGTTGAAACTCTCTGATCTACATGAAGTGTTCTGTAGTACAGATGTTATTTATATGGTACATACTTGGCGTTAGATGACAAAGGGAGGAGATTTGTTTTCATTTATATGAAGACTTCTCTGTAGTCTGCAATCTTAACTTTATCTTGATCAAAAACAACTGATAACTGCATTATTTCAAAGCCCAGCTTCTAAAATTAGAAAAATACTGACTAACGTATTTTAAGCGAATGTTAACTTTCCTTCCAGGTCACTAGGATTTGAGTGCTTATTCCAATACAGTATTTCCTACCTTTTTTTGATTTGTGGACCTCTCTAGATTATTTTTTTTTCCCAGTTGAATTGAGATCCCTTTGAAATCTATGTACTTCGGTTGCTGCGTAGCATATATAAACTTGCTTTTCTTAAACACCACGAGGGCTTACAAATTGGACGCTGAAAAGCAGGCCATAAATTTTGTCTTGCAAAACTGTATGTGATGTCACATAATGTTAAGGGCTCATCAGAGGGACAGTATAAAATTCAGACACATGTATTATCCAATATATTTTTGGAAGGGGGTTTATTTCACTTTTTTAATAGTCATTAATTTCCATATCTCCCAAATGTTGAAATAAATTCATATTAACTGAAGTGTTAACTTGTCTAATGGAAATAAAGACCACTACTGTTTTGACGGTTTTAATGTTATCTGTGGAATTCATTTCTTGCATCAATGATGTAAAATACGTAACACTATTTTGTGACACACATGACTAGTTATTTCCATCATAATTCTTTGGTTCTTGATGCTTTTTTTACTTTATTACATTGCTTTGATTTTTGAAGGCTTTTGCCTGATTGAAGTTGACGTTTTCATAGACTGTAAACTACACCAGGAGACAATTAGCACGTTGGTTTTGATATTTCATGCAATATTGAGCTTGAGATAAGTGGGGATAGTTCTGCTCAGTGCCTCTAATTTTTCATGAACAAAATAAAACTTTCATTAGGTTTATTTGCTGAGTTTTGCCTGTGACTAAATCGGTTTGTATGGTGGATTTTTTTTAAGGAAGACTTCAGAAAGTTAAGAGGTAACTGCACTTCTTCTGATAAACAGTAGAGGGAAGCATAACATCGACAATATAAATATGCTTTGCTAAAGTGCTGGTGCTCGGGGCTATTTGTGGAGTTACTTGGTTTGTTTCAGAGAGGGATTCCATCTCTTTCTCCTTGGGCAGTTTTTGAAGGGAATTTGAGATGGGAATATCTGTCACTTAGGCGCTCTTGCAATCTTAGTGTTTAGTTATGTGAAGGAAGAATATAATGTTAAGTAAACAACTATGAAATAGCACTTTTAAGATTGAAATCCTCTAGTTCTCAAAAAAAAAAAAACAAAACCTTGAAACTCTAGCTTGCTAGTCATTCAGGAAAATATGCCTGAACTATGCAAGATGAACAAATTGAGGCTGTGTGGTTGAAGAAGAAAGCACAATTCTGGTAGCCCTAATGTTCGCTGTAAGATTCCAGGGACTTGTCAGGTAAGTTGATCACAGCAGTTCTCAGAGAAGCACAAAGTGAAACTTTAACTTCAAAATGCTGATTTGAAATTTAAAAAGCTTAATAGGTAAGTTGCTGTAGTTAAAAGACTGGAAAAAAAATACTCTGAAGTATATACACTACATCAAATGAGTTTTTCTGGCTGGGAAAACTATTAGCAAACTAAATCAATAGGATGGAGAGTTATGAGAAGTCACCAAGTAGGAGAAATTAGAGGAGCCTCATGTAAGAGGAAAATAATGTTGGAGGTTAAATTCTTCCTTTTCTGAGGGAGAAAAGCCTGCTGCAAAAGTATTTTTTTGTTACCTTGAAATCTACGGTTGACTTTTTTGCCCTCCTTCCCCACCAGCACCATCATATGAATATGCCAGTACTGTAATTTGCTTCTTTACCTTTAGGCTTTGCCTGCCTTCGCTAGTCACAACTTCTGTTTTCCTCCTATATACCTCCTCCATAATTAAGGTAATGGACAAATGACAGTGTGGTTGATTTCTAGCACTGTTCTGACATTTTTGCCATAGGGGAGCGCTTTGGGGCTAAGAGCATCACTGTTGCCTTGAATTGTTCTGATTGTGTTTTGTATCCAGTTGCTGTCTACAGTCATCTGATGGGCGAGTTCTTTGTGCCACTTCATCATCCGGAAGTACCTAAAGAGTCTGAAAACTGCCCTACTCGACTACGTAGATGAATCTCCACTATAACTGGTACAAACTGGAAATTTGAGCAAGCAAAGCTCTGTTGCACCACTATCAGGGAGTTGTACCGAGAACCTAGAAATACCCAGATCCTTGGATCTTTCTGTTTTGAGAGTGGTGAGGGTGAAGGAGCAGAATTCCCTAAGGAAGATCAGTGAGTTTGCAGATTTAGTATGTATTCAAAGCACTTGTTTCACTCTAAATTGATGAGATCTCTTACCAAGCTAGGCTGTGTTAATCTAACACCTGTTTCTGACACATGTTAATTACTAAGCAACCTGATCTAGTGGGAGGTGTCCCCGTGTATGGCAGGGGGGTTGGAATGAGATAACCTTCAAGGTCCTTTCCCACCTAAACCATTCTATGGTTAAGGTAAGTTGGAGCAGAGTGAAGGGGACTCCTTGCTCTCAGTTGTGATGGCTTGTGCCAAGGTCTGCTGCTTTGGGACTCAAACGTTTGTGGTTGAAACACATGCAGCTCTCCTCATTCTCTCCCCCCTGCAGAGAAACCCCAATTGTTAATGGGTTTGAAAAAAAGTCTAATTATGTCCTATATGAAGAAAGGTCTATGTTTTAAAGTAAAGTTTTTGGAAAAAAAGTTTTGGGAAAAGTTGGTAATGCCGGCTGAAGAGTAAGAGGTGACTAAAAATATTTACTTGATCAGATTTGATAGAGAAGACTAGCGTGGGGGCAATACAAGAATCCTGCTTCTAGGAGAAGTGGGTGTTTGCGGTGCATTCCAACCTCGGCAAAGATGTCCTGGTGTTTCACTGGTAATCAGCGCTTATGTTCCTGTTAAGACTGTCACAAGATACTTGCAAGTGATTTTTGGCAGGACACAGCAGAACTTTAGAGATGGGAAAACCATATGGGGTTGAATTTGTGACAAAAGAAACATACATGATTGTTTCCAGTCGGATGAGTTCTTCTACTGAGATCTGTTTTTAAAGTACAAGGTGTCTTTGAATTTGGGATTAAATGAAATACAGGCTATGAAAATGACCACAGTCTGTTTTGTGTCTTGCTCCCTCTCAGTACCTGGGAGGTAGAGGACATCTGATCTCTAGGAAGTCCCGGAAAATAAATGCTTGTTTAAACCTTTAAAAATTGAATCTAACTTCTCATTCTTTAAGTATTACTGGTGCTGATGGCAACTCACTAGTTGCATGATTATCTGTGTGTTTGGAGAAAAAGAGATACAGGGACTGTGCAATAAGAGTCTCTTCTTCAAACCTTCCCCTACTGCCTCCCCCTAAAAAAAATCCTAACAAAAAGAGGCAAAGTAAAAACTGTAGTTCTAACTGTAAAAGTTAGGACAACCTGTCAACTGCATGAGGAACTGAGCTCCACTTCAAGCAAGAGGAGGTACTGGCACTTGGAGAGATGAAGAGAAATGAGTAAGAAAAGCTGAGGTTCTCAAGAGGGGAAGCTATGGAGCTTGGGAAAGGGACGTGGCGGCAGCATCTTTAGAGGTCTCTGCAGGTGGCGTTGAGGGAGGTGGGAAGGGTGCAGCTATTGCTGCTGTCTATTGACCGGCTCTTCGGTCGTGCAACCGGTGTCAGATGGGTGGCAGAGGTGGGGAGGGCAGGTTGTATGACGGAATGGCAGGCAGGTCATTGTCCTAATTCAGAGGTGAAGGAAAGGTGTGGCAGGGGGGTCGTGAGCGAAAGCAGTGAATGGTTGCTACTTGGGTCGAGCAGCCCTGCGTAAAGTCCCCAGCGACCTGTGCTGAAGCGTCGGGTCTGTCTAGCTGCAGACATGCTCTCTAGTGCAGGCAATAGCCTGGTCTCAAATGCTGCTTGTCTCGATACGTGGAACACACAGTGGGGGATGTACTGGTCTTTGTATGGGTTTGGTGGTTGGGGTTTTTTTGTGGGGTTGGGGTTTTTTGGTGGGGGTTTTTTTTGTTTTTTTTTTTTTTTTTTTTTTTTTAAATCATCTATCATATTGGCAGGAACACACCTGTCTTCTGCTGGCCTTCAGCGGTTTGCACTGCTGTGCGCAGCAGCTGGTTGCAGCAAGGGGTGGGCAGCCTCCTGCAGCTTCCCCCGAGGGAAACCCCCGGCTGCTGACACACGGCGGGAGAGCCCAGGGCAGGGTGCTTCGGTCCTGCAGCTTTTGTTGCTGAACACAGTGGGTGCAACTACGAAGCACGAAGTTAAAGGTATGGCTTAAGGCGACGAAGGAGGGCAAACAGCCTGAAATGGCATCATGTTGTACTTAGAACAGCAACGCGTCACTCCCTGTTCTTAAGTGGTTTTGCTTATTTTGTTGTGATGATGAGGATGCTTCCAGCTTCCAAAGTGTCTTTCCAAGTTGACAACTTCACTGTTTTCCAGCTTTTTGGATGGATGACCCATCCATTTCTCTGCTAACTTAAAAGTTTGCACGAATCTGAACACTGTGTCTAGTACAAAGCAGAAGTTACCCTTTAGCAAATGCTATGACGTACCAAAGCAGCCTCGGCAACGTGTGCATGGAGCAGAGTTCACCCCTGGTACTGAGATCTCCGTTTATGCCCATGCATGAGGATGTG